TGCTGGGCTGGAAGACCTGATTCCTTATTCTGAGTGGGGATTAGTCCCTGACTCCCTGGGCTGGAAGTCTCTTCTTCCTGGCTCCCTGTGGAGCTTCTTTATTCTCTCTGTTCTCTATTGGATCCTGCTTCTCTCATGAGAACTTCTCTGTCACCGGACACACCTTTTGTTAACTCCTGCAGACTATATGCTCTGCCAACTCTGTCCACTGCTGCTAAACTCTGGAGTTTCCTGTTCTAGCCCCTTAGTCACTTGAACTCCCCCCACCCTGAGACAGTCTCACTTTGTCACCCTTGGTAGAGTGCCCTGGTGTCATAGCTCACATCAACTTCCAACTCTTGGCTCAAGTGATTATCTTGCCTCAGCCTCTCATGTAGCTGGGACTATAGGTGCCCATCATAATGATATAGGGTTCCCCCCCATTCAAAGCTGGATAGGGAACCCAGTTTTCCTAGGCTTGGGCAAGTTCATGAGAACACCCTGACCTTCCCCCCCACCCCCCCAGCTGGAGGGACTGCATGCATTCCTTTGTCAATAACACCCATTTATGTGTTTCTATTTGCCAAGTCCCAGTCAAATGTAATTCTCAAGACCTAATACCCCTAGATAAAGGGCCCATGTAAAGACTCCCCTGTTAGTTATTTCTTCTCCCCCGCCAGAAGCTCTGGTGCCTTTTACTTCTTCTGTATTCTTTTCTAACTTCTAAAAAAATCCTGTCTTGCCACTGATCTGTGGTCTGTGGGTTCATTCCTCGAATCTCCAAGATCAAGGACCTACTGAAGAGCGAAATTCTGGTATCAATAACACCTGGCTATTTTTTAGAAACAGGGTCTCGGCTCAGTGCCTATAGCTCAACGGCTAAGACGCCAGCCATGTACACCTAAGGTGGCGGGTTCGAATCCCCAGCCCGGACCCGCCAAACAACAATGATGGCTGCAACCAAAAAATAGCCGGGCGCTGTGGCGGGCGCCTGTGGTCCCAGCTACTTGGGAGGCGGAGGCAGGAGACTCGCTTGAGCCCAAGAGTTGGAGGTTGCTGTGAGCTGTGACGCCATAGCACTCTACCCAGGGCAACAGCTTGACACTCTGTCTCAAAAAAACAAAAACAAAAACAAACCTATATGGTTCATGCTGCACTTATGTAATAAGAAAAGCCGGCTTGCCACCTGTAGCACAGTGGTTACGGCACCAGCCACATACACCAGGGGCTGGCTGGTTTGAACCCAGTCTGGGCCAGCTAGATAACAATGACAACTGCCACAAAAATAGCTGGGTGTGGGTGGTGCCTGTGGCTCAGTGCGTGGGGCACCGGCCCCATATACCAAGGATGGCGGGTTCAAACCTGGCACCAGCCGAACTCCAACAAAAAATAGCTGGGCGTTGTGGCAGGTGCCTGTAGTCCCAGCTACTTGGGAGGCTGAAGCAAGAGAATTGCCTAAGCCCAGGAGTTGGAGGTTGCTGTGAGCTGTGTGATGCCACGGCACTCTACCCAAGGCAATAAAGTGAGACTCTGTCTTCAAAAAAAAAAAAAAAAAAAAAAAAAAATCTGAGTGTTGTGGTGGGTGCCTGTAGTCCCGGCCACTGGGAGGCTGAGACAAGAGAATTGCTTAAGCCCAGAAGTTTGAGGTTGCTGTGACCTGTGACGCCATAGTACTCTACCCAGGGCCACATAGTGAGACTCTGTCTCAAAAAAAAGCCAAGTTTAGTGAAACTTAACTTTTTTTGTTTTGAGACAGAGTCTCATTCTGTCACCCTGGATGGAGTGCCATGGTGTCCTGGCTCATAACAACCTACAGGGCTCAAGCAGTGATTCTCTTGCCTCAGCCTCCCAAGTAGGTGGGATTACAGGAACCTGGCACAATGCCTGGCTTGTTTTTCTATTTTTATAGAGATGGGGTCTCGCTCCTGCTCAGGCTGGTGTTGAATTCATGAGCTCAGGCTATCCACTAGCCTTGGCTCTCAGAGTACTAGGATTACAAGGTGAGCCATGGTGCCAAGCCCAGTCCTGTTTGTTTTCTTAGAGGTTTTATTATCTACTTGTAATCTGGACTGAATCATGAATTATTCTAGTTTCCTCCAACATCTGGTTATGATTCTCCAAATTAATATTTCTGAATTTCTCTCATCCTTATGTCTTGGAATCACTGCTCTCCTGAAGCCCTGCAAGCTGAAGCTGGGCAGTTTGTTAACTTCGGAAAAACCACCATAATACTGTACATGTGGACCTTTATGATATCCAAACTGCAAACCAGGAAAATCAGATTGCCACTGCCTGTCCTCACTCCAACTGAAGGTGCTTAGGGTCAGCATTTAGAAATCCTGACTAATTACCCTCTAGACCAGTGGTTCTCACCCTTCCTAATGCCGCAACCCTTTAATACAGTTCCTTATGTGTGGTGATCCCCAACCATAAAATTACATTCATTGCTACTTCATGAACGAAAATAATTTTATGGTTGGGGGTCACCACAACATAAAGTATATTAAAGGGTCGAGGTATTAGGAAGGTTGAGAACCACTGCTCTAGACCCAGGATCTTAGTTTCTAGTTTGTTCTAACTGATAATCTTTGCTAAACTCCCCTCATTAAAAACCTGATGGTCCATACTATCCAGGAGATAATCCTCTACTACCAAGTCCCAACAGATAACTTAGCTGGTCCTTGATGATCTGAACAAGAAAACGGATTCATTTGTTCAAAAGAAAGAAGAGGCAGGGCGGTGTCTGTGGCTCAGTGAGTATGGTGCCGGCCCCGTATACCGAAAGTGGCAGGTGGTGGGTTCAAACCCAGCCCTGGCCCAATTGCAACCAAAAAATAGCTGGGTGTTGTGGCAGGTGACTATAGTCCCAGCTACTTGGAAGACTGAGGAAAGAGAATCGCTTAAACCCAAGAGTTTGAGGTTGCTATGAGCTATGATGCCACCGCACTCTACTGAGGGTGACATAATAGGACTCTCTCCAAAAACAAACAAAAAGTAAATAGGAGAATTTCATGTGGTGACCAGGAAGAGGGGACTACTTAAAAGGGTGTGACCAGAGAGAAGCAATGAATGCTAAGAGCCGAAGGAAGTGTCCCAGGTCGGGGGGCAGAATGATTCTTTGCTTGGCCAAATTTTAGTTAGGCTTCTGAATCTCCTGCTAGACCTATCTGTGTACTTCCTTGTTAAGTCCAGTTCTAGCAAAGAACCCCTATCCTTGATATCCAATCACCCTTTCTATTGGATCAGGTTCCTCATCCTCTACTGTCAGGTGACCTCTCACCATCCTGGCCTGTCTTGGAATCCTATTAGGAATTCTGTTAGGTCGATTTAACCAGAATCCCTTTTATCCTTGATGTTTCCTCTTAGTAATTTTCCATGCACTGACCCTGCACACTGCTCCTTGGTTCTAAATTCCCACTTGTCTATGCTGTATTCGGAGTTAAGCTTTATCTCTCTCCCTTACTGCAAGACCTCATTGCAATATTTTAAGATATAGTTGGTGTAATCCATGAAGATTTCCTGAAGGAAGTCCGAGAAGGCAATTGACTTTCATAATTTTTACTGAGCACCTAGTATATGTCTGATGCTATTCTACACATTTTACAAGTGATTCTTAATCCTCATTACAGCTCTTTGGTGATCAGGTTTAAAGGAAGAGGAAACTATGTGTAGATAATGTAATTCCAAAGCACAGAACATACACTTCTGCATCCTAATTATGAGGCATGAATCTACACTTGATAAAAAATACTATACACATATTGTACAAATGTCAAATCTCTGCTTTGGTAGTGTACTAAAATTATGTTAATATGTTGGAGGAAATTGAGTGAAGGGTAAGTTGGATCTGTCTGTACTATTTTACTCCTGACCACTGAGAAGTAGTCAGGTATTTTATAAAATGTGTGTTTTTTTTGAGACAGAACCTCAAGCTGTCCCCCTGGGTGGGTAGAGTGCTGTGCCATCACAGCTCACAGCAACCTCCAACTCCTGGGCTCAAGCGAGTCTCCTGCCTCAGCCTCCCAAGTAGCTGGGACCACAGGCGCCCCCCCCAACCCCTGGTTTTTTTTTTTTTTTTTTTTTGGTTGCTGCTGTTGTTGTTTAGCGGCCCCGGCTCGATTCGAACCTGACACCTTAGGTTTATGTGGCTGGCGCCTTAGCCACTTGAGCCACAGGCGCCGAGTCATAAAATGTGTTTCAATTTGTGTTTATCCAAAGTTTTTCTCATAAAGTGTCATGGATTTTGGAGAGTTAAGACCATGTATTTTCAACTATCCATAAAATGATTTCAAAACAAAAAATGGAAAAAATTATTTTCCAAAAGGAGATGATTAATATTGTAACTTGAGTCTTTTCTAGTCCTCCAACACACAGACAAGCCCCCGCCCACGATTCACATTAACCCAAGATGTTTGCAATGTTTGCTTTATTATGTCTCCAGCACCTCTTATTTGGTACTTTTGTTCAACAAAACGATCTGGGGATGGGACAGGAGGCGTTATAAAAGGTACGGGCTTGGGAAGGTCGTTTGGCTCCCTGAAGTCCAATTAAAGGCTTCTCAGGTTGCTTATTCCCAGAGCAGAGCCGGGGCCCAGACCCAGAAGTCTGCTTCCGGCGCCACGGCCAAACAGCTGCACTGGGAACGGTCAAGGCACAGCTGGAACCTCTGCCAAGGGCCTCAGGGTGTACCAGCCGGGTCGCACGGGCGGGAGCCCCAGCTCAGCGGAGCTACGCGGGGACCAATACCCTCCTCCCGCGAGGAGCTGGGGAGCCGGGCGGACTCTAGCAGCCACCAGCCCAGGCTCGTAGGCAGAAAACTGGGACGTTGCGAACGCCGAGCGGGCTCGACCAGCGGCGCGTGGCACGCGCGAGCCCTCCCGCGCATGTTCCCCCCGCCCCCGCCCCGGTCCCGCCTCTTTCGCTCCGTCTCCCTCTCCCCAGCCAGCCTCCTCCGAGTGTGGCCCCTCCGGCCGGCCGGGCGGCCGACGTGCCGCGTGCGTGCGGGCGCCTGACTTCACTTCCGGCTAACGCGCTCTGCTTGCCCCCTGGCCCCGGATGGTGACTGGCGGTGGTGCTGCACCTCCCGGGACTGTCACTGAGCCGCTTCCCAGTGTGATTGTGCTGAGCGCAGGCCGGAAGATGGCGGCTGCGGCTGCGGCGGCCTCGGGCCCGGGCTGCTCCTCCGCGGCGGGGGCGGGGGCAGCCGGGGTCTCGGAGTGGCTGGTGCTGCGGGACGGCTGCATGCGCTGCGACGCCGACGGGCTGCACAGTCTCTCCTACCACCCGGCGCTCAACGCCATCCTGGCCGTCACCAGCCGCGGGACCATCAAAGTCATCGACGGCACCTCGGGGGCCACCCTACAGGCCTCGGCGCTCAGCGGTGAGTGTGCCGCACGCCGGCTGGGGGCCGGGCCCGCCGCGGGAGGAGCCGGGCCGGCGGGATGCCGGGGAAGGAAGCCGCCCAGCCCCGGGGCTCGGTCTCCGGAGGAAGGGAAGCGGGGTAGCGGGAGGGCAGGGCTGGGGGCTCGGGCCTGTCTGGGAAGGGAGGCCCGGAAACTGATGGAGGAGGGCCTTGGGACTTGGCTTTTCGGTGGCTGCTGCTGGGAAGGAAAGACCGGCGAGTCAGGGAGTGGCGGGAGTTGCCTTTCGGGCCTTGGGCGTCCGGTCTTGACTTATACCTCCGGAATAGGTGAGGAGGCCTCAGAGATCGGCAGTGGAGAAGGCGAGGCCCCCGGTAGGTCGTGGAGGTGTCCGTACTGCGCTCTGCTAGATCCAAGAGCGAAAGGCTTGAAGGGAGGACCCCAACGGGAGAGGCCAGTGGTCGGAGGCAAGGGGCAGGAAGCGTCCGAGCGGGCATCCAAGCCCTCCCTTGGAGAGAAGTAGCCGGTCTGCTGTTCGTAGGTCCCGCAGGTGCGGGGACCGACCGCGGGCTTCGCGCCCGGGGTGGGGGTGGGGTGGACCTGGAGTGGGGGTGGGGAGGGAAGTAGGCGGGCCAGCTGCCTGAACTGTTGGGTCGACGACTGTAGGACTCTGCGGAGGCCAAAGGAGATTAGATCTGGTCCCCTCGCTCGGGGCTTCAAACTTACGTCTCCCTGTGATGAGAAATTCAGGACCTGCAGTATATGAAATAGAAATTCCTTTGGGTTTGTATTTGGGTAAAACTTCAGGCCCTCCTCGTTTAATTTTGCCAAAGCGAGCCGAAAATTTGGATTTGGGTGGTACATCTGAGTGTCACCATTGGAACGGAGCATTTCTGGGTGGTGTAAACTTTGGTCCAGGTATGGAACTTTTAGAGTGTAAAGTGGACGCTCAGTGGATGGACTGGTGTTTTGGAACTGACCTGGTTAAGTTACATTTGACTTAGATGACAGTTCAGTTGTGGTTAAACGATGAATGACTTAATTTGGGGATTGTAGGTTAAAATTGGAAAGTTTATGAATGAGTTAAACTCATGCACAGAGATATGATGTATATAACTGTCTGCATTTACTTACGTGGAAGTAGTATGTGGTCTCCTATTTCACCTGTATTTTAACATAGACAAAGTTTACTGTGTGAGTAATAAGTTATTCATGAGTAAATGGCAATTTGGGGATACAAAGATGAAATTAGAGGTGTTAATTATTGTTGATGTGAGAATTGTGAAAGAACTGGATTGTGTCTAGTTATAGAATATAAACCTGGGATATATCTAAGAGTTGTATCTAAGAGAAGTTTTGGGTGGTAGGTTTGTAATTTTTTCTTTGGCTTAGGTACAAGACAGGAGGGACGGCCTACATGTACTATTCATCAGTGACTACAACTTGGATGTAATAGCGTGTCACTGTGTGTAAGAAGATGCTCCTTAGTACTTGGATGTCTTTCTTTTTAAAACCTATTTAAAAGTATTTCAAATATGAAAAAGTATCAAGAATAATTACAGTGAACAACCCTATCTCAGCTTAAGAAATAAAACATTACGGATGGAGTTGAACCTTCTTTGTGACTCTCCTAGATGGCATTTCTCCAACCCTCTCTCCTTCATAAGCAGTGTTCTTAATTGGTTTTACCCATTTTCATACATGTCTGTACTTTTTAGTGTATGTTTGTATCTTCAATACTTGATAATACTTTTTATGGCTTTTAACTTGAAATAAGTAATATCAGAGTATAGGTACTAGGGTATCTACAGGAAGTCATTAACAAAAACATTCTTTGGATATAAGGAATTTCATGGGTTGCTATTTATGTTGAGGCCATGTTTGAGAACAATTATGTGTATCAGTGTTAAAATGGTTGAAGAAATTGGACATGTATTTCTGTGCTTGCACCTGGAAAAGAAAATATTCACTTAAAGAGAGGATTTAAAAAAAAAAGAGGAGGATTTTAGGTGTCTGTTATGAATGTTCAGGTAGATTCATCAAACAGCGCTGATTTGGGATAACTTGGGGTATGCTTGGGCATTTATTAAATTAGAAAAGTATGGGATTGGATGTAGTTGCAGGTGTTCATGCAGGAAGATTGAGTATGTGAATAAAGATATGTAGACGAGTCTATGGCAAATAGAATAAAGTACAGAACAAAATTGAAAGGAACAGTGGATACATTTCAAAAGGCTATAATGTTTGAGAACTGAACTTTATTAATAATAGTTGCCAGAGGTGGTATAGAGTCCCGTGTATGTAATCTACTAATCTATTCAGATGATTGGGAGAGGGAATGCCGCATTTTATATCAGTTTGCTTTTAATGGTTAATAGAGAGTGACAGTCCTATAAATAGGATACGGAGAAGGTGCCAGTCCTAACGTAATCCCTCTTTCCAATTCATGGGCACTGAGCCATCTTTGGTTCTATCCCAGAGGAAAGATGCCATTGTCTGAGGAAATAGTCAGGTAACTGTATTGAGTTTTAGTGGGTGATAGAGTAGTAAGCCTTATGGATGCATGGGGTTCAGTTTATAGGGTTATGGGTTGCCTGCAGTATGGATTGGAAATAGAAGGATGGAAACATAGTATTTATATACTCACATGTGTTCAATTGGGTGGCAGAAATAGTCAATTTTTTTTTTTTTTTTTTTGAGACAGAGCCTCAAGCTGTCCCCCTGGGTAGAGTGCTGTGGCATCACACTCACAGCAACCTCCAACTCCTGGGCTCTAGCGAGTCTCCTGCCTCCGCCTCCCAAGTAGCTGGGATTACAGGCGCCCGCCACAGCGCCCGGCTATTTTTTGGTTGCAGCCGTCATTGTTGTTTTAGCGGGTCCGGGCTGGGGATTCGAACCCGCCACCTTAGGTGTATGTGGCTGGCGCCTTAGCCGGTTGAGCTATAGGCGCCGAGCCGAAATAGTCAATTTTTAACTATGTCTACTAGTATGTCTTCAAATGATCCGTAGTATGTCTTCAAATGATCCGTATCTGAGGTACAGTGTTTATAAATACATTTTCACTAGATTGAGAGCAATCAGAACCTACACAGGGGTAGGCAAGTATTTTGCTCTCTGTCAGTAAGAGTTAAGATTTCTGAGGTTCTGAGCTGATTCCTTGCCTTGGCATTCAGTGACCTCATGATCTAGCCTCCACCAATCTCTAGTCTTCTCTCTACTTTGTTCTGTGAAACTGGTCAATTTAATTTTCTTTCCTATCTATAATAGGAATTTGCTCTTCCTCGGAATGCACCAGTTCCCTCTAGTCAGACAAATCTCACCTATTTTTCAAGACCTAGGGTACATCTTAATTTCCTGATCCCCTTAGCCAGAAATGATCGAGCTGCTAAGTACACATTGTTCTATTAATATCCATTTTAGTAATTTGGCAGCTTACTTTTTCTAGCATGCTTTCTGCTGTCTTGAACTATTTAAATTCCATTTTATTTACCTTTTTATAAGTACATGAGGTCTGTTTCATTATTTCAAGCTTCTGTGGGGGAGGGCTGTATTTTGTCTACTTGCTTATATCCCCTCACCAGGATGCCTAGCACAGAATGTTGACTCAGATTTTTTTTTTTTAAAGTAAGGGTCTCACTTTGTAACCCAGGCTACAGTGCAATGGCCTGGGGCTCATGTGATTCTCCTGTGTCAGCCTCTGGAGTAGTTGGGGCTACACGTGTGGGCTACCTTTCCCACTAATTTTTACATTTTTTTTTTTTAAGAGATGGGTGTCTTGCTGTGCTGTCCAGGCTTGTCTTGAACTCCTGGGCTTCAGTGATCCTCCCATCTCGGTCTTCTAAAGTACTAGGATTACAGACATGAACTATCACACTTAGTGTTAGGTATTTTTGATTTGATGAGGATATACTGATGACTGTGTTAAATGGATGCTTCCTTACCTACTAATTGTTAAATAAAGACTTTTTTCTTTTTTTGAGACAGAACCTCAAGCTGGGTAGAGTGCTGTGGCATCATAGCTCACAGCAACCTCAAACTCCTGGGCGTAAGCAATTCTCTTAACTCAGCCTACCAAGTAGCTGGGACTACAGGCACCCACCACAATGCCTGGCTATTTTTTTATTGTAGTTGTCATTGTTTCACAGGCCTGGCCTGGATTAGAACCCACAAGCTCTGGTGTATATGGCTGGTGCCTTAGCTGCTTGAGCTACAGATGCCGAGCCTAAATGTATTTCTTGACTTAAAAAAAATAGACTTTGCTCCTATTACCCGCACGCCCCTTGCAGATGATTTCTAAGTGGAAGAGGGTTGTGGGAGGGCATGCGTGTAAAAAAAAAAAAAAAAATAGACTTTATGGCTTGGCTCCTGTAGCTCAATGAGTAGGGTGCCAGCCACATGCACCCAGGCTGGTGGGTTCAAGCCCAGCCTGGGCTTGCTAAACAACAATGACAAGTGCAACAAAAAAGCTGTGATGCCATAGCACTCTACTGAGGGCAACATAGTGAGACTCTGTCTCAAAAAAAAAAAAATAGGCTCTGTCCTTGTAGCTCAGTGTCTAGGGTGCCAGCCACATACACTGGAACTGGTGGGTTTGAATCCAGCCTGGGCCTGCCAAACGACAATGACAACTACAACCAAAAAATAGCCGGCATTGTGGTGGGTGCCTGTAGTCCCAGCTACTTGGAAGGCTGAGGCAAGAGAATCAGCTTAAGCCCAAGAGTTTGAGGTTGCCGTGAGCTATGATGCCATGGCACTCTACCTAGGGCGACGGCTTGAGACGCTGGCTCAAAAAAAAAAAAAATAGACTTTATATTTTAAGAATAGTTTTAGATCCACAGTAAAGGTTTGGTGCCCAAAGTACAGTGGTTATGGCACTAGCTGTAGACACCGAGTGTGGTGGGTTCAAATCCAGCCCAGGCCAGCTAAATAACAATGACAACTACAACAAAAAAGTAGCCTGGCGTTGTGGTGGGTGCCTGTAGTTCCAGCTACTTGGGAGGCTGAGGCAAGAGAATCACTA